CCCCAAAACCCCAAAACCCCAAAACCCCAAAACCCCAAAACCCCAAAATATGGAAATTTAATGGATATATTTTACAGAAATTAACATGCCATTGATAATTATGTGAGGAATTCCTTGTAGTGGAAAAACTACAAGAGCAACAGAGATTAAGACCTATTTCGAAGAGGAACATAAAAAGGGTAATTTTAGAAGCCTCATAATGGCTGATAACATCTTTAGATGTGGTCCTAATCAATGAAGAGACACTTGGATTTGATAAGAATGAGTACTATAAAGGTAAAACATTCTTTCAGGTTTTTTCCTACTGTATTTTCACCTAAATTTTCATATTTACAAATTATTCAGATGGTTCGACTGAGAAAATTATCAGAGCATCTTTGAAATCTGAAGTTGAGAGGAATCTCGATAGTGAAACAATAGTGATCATTGACTCTCTAAACTACATCAAGGGATACAGATACGAACTTTATTGCCTTGCAAGGAGTGCTAAAACTACTTTGACTAACATATACTGAGAAACTGATCCTGAAGAGGCAGAAAAGTGGAATTCTGAGAGAGATCAGAGTGTTGCATTCTCTGATGAACTCTTTCATGACTATAAAGGAAGACTTGAGATTCCAAACCCTGCTCAAAGATGGGATTGCCCATGCATAATGCTTCGACCATATGAGGATACTCCTTTAGAACAGGTTGAGAAAGCAGTTATCTCAGGTAAATTACCCAGAGCTCCTGTCTCAAACAAGCATGAGGAAAATTTGGAAACGAATTACATCTACGAGTTGGATAAAAAGTGTTCTCTAGTAAATGACTTCATCATTGTAAAACAGCAGGAATTCAACGAAGGGGATACCATATCTGCTGCTGAAATGACTGGGTCTACTAAACTTCTGACATTACATAAGATTTATTCCCCAATAGAGCTAAAGAATATGAAGAAGGAATTTATTAATCTATCGAAGCTACATCCCCCTAAGGAGAAAGATAATTTCGCTGATCAGTATATAGCGTTTATTGATTCTAATTACGAGCAAGAGGATGACTACTAAATCAATATTCAATCTTGGTCTCTGTAGAAGGGGTTTTGGGGTTTTGGGGTTTTGGGGTTTTGGGG